AATAAAATATATTAATTTTTATCAATTCCGCAAAATTAATTGTCTTACTTAAAATCATGTGTTAATCATGTTAATGTATCAGTATACATTTTATCGTACAGCGTTTAATAAAAATATTATTATATTTTATCGTACATGTTATAAAAATATTATATTAGTATATTTGTTTGATGTAAGTTAAATTTAAATTATTATTATGCGCGAGTCTTAAGTAAAGTCGACAAACGACTAGATCTCTCGTGGCTGAGTCTCTATGATCATACGCTCGTGCGCTTCCGCGTCTCGCCATGCGTCACGCTAATGAGTCAGTTCTCGCTATATGTGTTTCCTGGATTGCTTTAACAAGTAAAGGCTCGTAACCCGTCTCCCGTCCGATCGTGACGAAATCCGGAGATGTATACAAATCTAAATTAATATTCGCGTATTTTTAAAACGTTCTGAAGCTCACCCTGCAATTTTTACCCTGAGGACATATTGAACGTATCGATATCCATCGGATTTCATAGTTGTGTAGTTCTATTTATCTTCATAAAAAAATGCAAAGAAACATTAGCCGATATTTGTCTGGCCTACTGAAAAAAAAAGGAAGGATTGTGTTACATCAATTATCTTTGGGGAGCTCCGAAAGGCGTACACAAGGATGCATTTTGGCGGGTTGCCACGCGAGATGTGACCTTCGGTATATTCAGCATATAGTGCAACTCAATATCTTAATACTTCTTTTAAAAAAGAACGATGTCGTCCAATTAATACGGAGATTCTTCTGTACGGATGATTAGCGAGAAAGATATCGTCTGCGGGCTTAAATTAAACGAAGCGTTTCGCGCGCGGCATTAGGTTGCTAGATTAGCAAACTCGGGAGGCCACCTCGAGACAGGCTGTCCTACTGAGCGGTCGTAGCACTTGGCAGAAGAAGTAGATTTAGTACCTGTTAATTCTCACGTGAGGGTAATTTGCGGCAGTAGAACTATCGTTCATGAAGCGTGTATGTATATCGACGATACCAAAGTATTGCGAAACTATAACAGAAGACTTAGTCATACAATTATCTGTCTGAAGAAAGAGAGAGAGAGAGAGAGAGGGGGGGTAGAATTGAAAGTAAAAAGATTCAGAATGTTCAATTAATATATAAGCATAAAACTTTATTTTTTTTGGAAACGATAGAATTCTTATATTTGTTATGAGCAAGAACTGAGCTGTTTTTTTTCCAAAAATGCAATGTATGGTGCTTTCTATCAGTGTCATCGATATATTTTATGTGTAAACTTTTAATATTTGTGCTTAAATATTATAAAATCTATAAGTGGAAGCGATAATCATCTATAAGCAGATAGCTTCTCTCGCGATTATTCTGAAAAATTATAATTTCTTTTGCTACATGTAGAACGGTCTCAATAGCGAACAGTGGTTCCGTAACTCTTACTATAGCTTTCATCAACACCCACTCGTGTTATATAATAAATAGGAATCCAAAAAATGTTAATACGTTTTTACGATTAACAAAATGAGGCTAATATGAAGCGAAAAAGAATCATAAAGCAACACACAGACGTGATACAGTAATGCAGTTTTACAGAAGATAGAAGTATAGAATATCTGTCCCATAATATATCTTTGAAGAAAAAGGTCAGATAGATATTTAAAATCAATTAATTATTGAAAGTCCTATTTTTTAATTCAAAAACTTTGCAGAGAAATTATATTGATAATTTATATAAATAATTTATGAAGACATTTTAATATAACGTGCCAAGCTAAGGTTTTCTTAAGAGCTCTTCTTTATGATGTCTTTTGCCATTTTCCATTTATCACAACACTGGCGTGTATGTCTCACACACAATATTTTGTATTATCTCTTGTATATGTTGTGTCTGAATAAAATATTTATTAACATTGAATAATATGTGTGGAAATAATATTCTGCCGAGTATTCGTGATATTTACGTATATTACTTATCATAGAAAAATTCTCATTATTTTACTGGTTACTCATTATATATTGGGTTATGAAATGCGCGCGTATTTTTTCATGTGCAATTATATAATTGCACAAATAAAAAACTAAGACATTAGACATGTTCGCACTATTTCGTGAGTATAATTTTGCAAAGAATGAAGTTTCGCATCAACTTGAAAATTTCGAGAATCCACCGTCAAGCGTAACGGAGAGAAAATGTCCATCGATATATCGTCAAAATTATCTTGAACATCATTCAGTGGTTTAAATAATCGCGCATGCGATATTCGTACCGGAAACTTTTTTTTTAATTTAAAATTTCTGTAGTGGATACTTCTATTTAAAGAGTTTCGTTCGCGTACCGCAAATCCGAGGGTCGCGTCGTACCTGTTGTCGCGTGCAACCCTCCTCTACAGACAGACTTGAACGGATTCTTGTTTACCGTTCAAAATCACACTACAATTCGTGACAAGATCGAAAGATCGGAGAATCGTTACACGAGTGGCAGAGCACTTACACCAATACACGGCAACAAAGTCCTTCTCGTTGAGGAGCCGTTCGAGTTGCTTGGCAGTGACTTCCTCGATCACCGGCTCGGCCTCCTTTTGCCTGCCGGCCGAGCCGCGGGACGAGGCCGACTCCTCGGCTTTTGTCCTTGCGGCGGCGTCCACGTGGCCCAGGAGGACCGTGATTAACGCCAGCACGCTCAGAAGGATGATTGTCCTTGGATGGTACATCGTCGTCGGCATCGCAGGGCCGCGGGTCGTAGTACTCCGCCTTCTTCTCCGCCAGCACCACCACCATCGGCCGAACCGTACCGCCGAACCGTCGTTCGCTGTCGACATCGCCGCACTGACTGCCATACATCGGCTATTTTTGAATTTTCGGACAGCATCGGCCACACAGAGAGAACGGCGTTGGGATCGGTGAAGATGAAGCCAAAGACGACGACGACGACGACGACGGCGGCGACGGCGACGGTGACGGCGACGACTGCGACGACGACGATGGTTAAGATGATGTCGCCGCGCTCATTCTTTATTTTTTAATGGGAAGTCTTGTCGCAACACTTCGTAATAGAGCGAAGCTTTTTATTTAAAAGAACCAAAGTATCGCTATTTTGGTAGCAATAAAGTGGTACAATGCATGCACAATAATATTTAATTGCACGCGAATATCGTAATTTAAAAGTTGGGCATTAATTCTATCTAAATATCATTATTATTGAAAAATTAAAATTTATATTTGTAATTCAAGCGTAGTTACTTAAAAGTATATTAATAATAATAAAGATAAATTATAAATATATATTAATATATAATATAATATAAATATATATTAATAATAAAGAATGCGTTTGAAGAGTACGCTATCAGCGATATTAAGCCATTTTTTTCTTGTTTTATATTTAATAATAAAGATAGAATGACAAAATTAACAACGCTGATAATGTCTCCCTAATCAAATGCAGTCAAAACAATTAAAATTAATAACAAAAAATATCTTATATTAGGAGTGTGATTCAGTTTTGAGGGTTTTACAAGATATGGTACTAATGTCAGTGTTGTCGAAAACATTCCAATCGCAACTATTATTTCTTGCTTTAATATTGCTTTAATAATGCTTTAATATTACTCCATGATATTTAGTCATTTAACAATAGATGCATGTTTATACTACCTTAAAAATGGAGCTTCCTAAAAAGCATTTTTGAATGTTACATTATCAGTGAAACAAACATTATTAGAGCTGAAATAGGAAATTTTATCGCACTCCGCGTATTCTCCAAATATTGGCTCCAGATTCCATTTGATTATCACTTGTTCCGGTTGATGCAACATACTTTAAAGGACATACACACTTTTATAATTTCGAAAAAGTGTTGAAAATTTGTTGAAAATTGGTTCAAATCCAAAGAAGAATCTTTTTATTGTCACAGATAATCCATCCCTTACCAGAAAGAGATGGATTATCTGTGGGGAAAAAGTTATAGAAAACGAAGAAAAATATTTTGATTAAGGTATTTGTATAATAAATCAGTTTTTTTAAGAAAAAAAATCCTTTAAAACTAAATCACATTTCTAATATATACATATATTGTAATTATTTTAATAATAATACAATGTATAAATATATAATTTCTACATATTCGTGAATCAAAATACTACTGATGCGTGCAAACATCTCATAACATTCTTCCCTTTCAATAAAATTTCTTTACAGTATTTTCACATCGGGGGAAGAAAAGAATCTTATAAAATGCTTGTAAGCATTAGTATTAAATTAAAAATCAATTTAATACTGATATTATTATTCTTGTGTATTTAGATTTAGGTTTAATTAAGAACTGCGTCAAGATCGAACGGCGTGCAGTTTGTAGAACTAGAAAAATGTATGTAAAATTAAATAAAATTTTAATGAGCACCAAGCTCCTCCGATAACCGATCTCATAAATTTGAAATGTATCTATGTTATAAAAAAAATATTTTACGGTAACTTTTTCATTGTTTCTTTAGCCATAAATACATAAACGCAATGTCAACTTCTTGTACCAACGAGTCCCGGTGCCCTATCATCCCCTACATTTTGAAATTTTTGTAGTGGATGAATTTGCGAATATGGTAGCAGATATTAATAATTTAAAAGATTTAGAATTATTTATATTAGAGGTGCTATATATCACCGCGAGATCATTGTACCGCAAGGGAGATATATATACATATATATATATATATATATCCGTTATAAAACATTTAGACAGTTAATACAAACAAAATAAACTGACACAAAAAATGTAATCATACAATTAAAAGATCAATATATATATACATATATATATATATATATATATATATATATTGATCTTTTAATTGTATGATTATATGTGTCAGTTTATTTTGTTTGTATTAACTGTCTAAATGTTTGAGACAAAATGTTTTTTAACAGGATATTATCAGTTACCACTAGATATAAGATATTGATTTAAATATCGATGTAGCGTGGGAGAATGTACATATATAGGTACGAGGTACAGTTTGCTAGTGCAGTTGATCAGTAGTCTCGGTACACAACGGAACAGGTATGGCAGAAGTGGAAGGCAAGTCGCGTATTGCCGTCATCGGGGGTGGTTTGGTACGTGAAATATTTTCATTTCTCGACTTTGGAGTAAAAGGCCGGTGAATAAGGAAAAGAAGCTATTGCTCTCGTTGCAGGTTGGAACATTAGCCGCATGTTTTTTCGCTAAAAGAGGTCATCAAGTAGTCATTTATGAATATCGATCAGGTAAAGAACGCTAAAAAATTGTATTCGAGTTTTAGCACTTTATTTGCCAATCTTGACTTATTTATTATTCTTAGAAGTTTTTATTTTTTTTAATAATATGGTACATTAATGTCTAATATATTATATAATATAATATGTTAATATAATACATGTATATCGTGTTAGTTTGATATTTTTTATCAATAAGATTTTGAGATAAAATTGATAAAGTTGATAACTAATCTAACATGAAAGTTTGAGAAGTTATTTTCTAAATACTTTAAGAACATAATATCTTGGGAGGTGAATAGTCGGTATTCGAGTTTTCAAATTTTTAGACATACGAATGGAAAAGTCACGTGGTCAAAGTATCAATCTGGCGTTATCATTCCGTGGCAGAGATGCTTTAAAGGCAATCGGTCTTGAAGATATTTTGGTGAAATGCCATGGTACTCGTATGCGTGGCAGAATGCTTCATGACAAAAATGGCAATTTGAAAGAAGTTATTTATGACAGCGTCAAAGGAAACGTGCGTTTTTAGTTTATTTTAAATTACCGAATATTTCTAAATATCCTCCGCATATATGCGCGTATAACTTTGCTTATCTTTTAAATGTTTGCACGCAATTATTTTTTATCTTGCAGTGCATTTACTCCATCAACAGACGATATCTCAATGTGGTTTTATTAGACGGTATGTTTCTTTTTTTTTTGTATTGTAGCGATTGCATCGTCGCTACTCCAACTGCGATAATCCGAAAACTATTCCGCGTCGAAATAATTCATAGAAACGTGTATTAACGCTGACATGTCCGCGGATTTGCTTAGCTGTTCGGTTATATGTGTATGTGGTTTACAACTTAAGTACAAGATAATAAATAAATAAATGATATTTAGAAAGTATCGAAAGTTATGTATGCTCTTTCGTTATTTTCACCAACCAATCTGTCTCGTGTATTTGTGACTTCATTTGTCTCTACGTTTACCAGAAATTGACTAATTACAATCGAATGTGAAGAGAATAATTTGGTTGATAAAAACAACAAAAGAACATAACGACTCTTGATACTTTCTAAATATCATTTTTTATCTTGTATTATCACATATCGGTTTACTAATGCATCGGATGTACTTTCCTTCGTTACCGTATCCACTAACATCTTAAATAATCTTTCTCTCTAAATCTAATCGAATACTCATAAAATTAAAATATTATTTGACATGCATTTGATGGATTGAAGTTATTTATTAATAACGCTCTATTGCTAACAAGCGATTTATTGATAACATGATCCGTATTGATCTGTTATTAACATAACGAGGAAGGGTTAATTCTGAAAAAATTGATAAAAAATAAATTTAAAATAAGATAAAATATAAATCTAATTTAAAAAAAATTGTATTTGAGAATTAATAACTTTTCTCTACTTTAAACTCATATAATTTTTAACATTGTGTTACAAATAATCTTTTTAAAAATAAATTTATTCTCTATTACAAAATTTTGGTCGTAATGATTTTTTTATATTTATTGTCAAGATAAACAATTTATGTCGAAATATAGTCATAAATTATTTAAGCTCAAAAACGATCAAAGGCATTCTTAATATTACAAAATTGATTTTTTCGAGAGTTAAGACTCGTAGACTCACTGAAAGAATTAGATCCCACATTTTTTATTTCCTTTAAAGACAAATTATTATTTAAAATAATGAATTTTTCCACATATTTGATCATTACTTGAGCATACAGTCAATTTATTGTCATAATTTATTTAAAATAAATGTCACATTAATCATATTGTAAGTAAGTCAAGGAAATACGAGATTGATGCGGGATGATGTAGTTAAAAAAAGCTCGTCTACTCCTACGTGATATTCGATGACGCCGTTGTGCACGAAGCCGCAAAAATTCGCGTGTATTATCTTTCTCTCGTATAGCACCCGTTTTCCATAACGTAAACTTAAGTCGAGATATCGGATAACTAATCTAACATGAAATCTAATTTAACCATCTATAAATCTCGTTTTGTTGTGATTACGATTTAACGGTAGCCGCGGAAAAATATCCGCAAGTGCAACTCAATTTCAACAGAAAGCTTGTGGACGCCGATTTGGAGAAAGGAAAGATGAAATTCTTGAAGTGAGTGAACGGTACCGTTATCGAAAAAATTAGTATTTTGCTCTGTATGTAGCTAGTTTCTTGTCTTTAGTATAAATACCAGGACGACGGAAGACGCGGAAGCTGATTTAATAATTGGTGCCGATGGCGCGCATTCGAAAGTACGAAAAATTATGGTTGGAAGGCCGCTTTTTAATTGCGCCCAAACGTACATCGAGCACGGCTACGTGGAAATCTCTGTGCCATGTAGAGAAGATAACGAAGTAAGAAAACATATAGTTATGCAATTTTAAATTAATTTCAAACTTCTTCAAATACTTCGCCATATGGATTTATTAAAGTCCTTTTTGTCCCACGTTAAAGTTTGCGATGAGTGGTAACAACCTTCATATTTGGCCGCGCGGTGAATTTATGATGACTTGCCTGCCGAACGAAGATCGCACGTTTACCGGCAATCTGTTCGCACCATTTCGCATGTTCGATAAGTTGAAGACACGCGAGGCATTATTGAGCTTTTACACCGAGCATTTCCCGGATCTTCTGCAATTGATTGGCGAAGAGAAATTAGTGAAACAATTTTTTGAAAAAGAACCGCAAACGTTAATATCAATCAAGGTTGATTTTAATTTTATTATATTCTGCGATCGTTTGATTTGATTAAATAAGTCTGATCTAAGATCTTGTGCATCTTACAGTGCAAACCTTATCACGTTGGGAAAAGCGCTGTCATAGTTGGAGACGCTGCCCACGCCATGGTTCCTTTCTATGCTCAAGGAATGAATACTGTAAGTTAATTCGTTAAATCAATTTGAGGAATTTAAAGAATCAAATTATTTTGCGATATATCGACATTATATATACATTTGCGGAAAAAATATAAATAATAATGCACAACTGTGCATTAAAGGAGAAGGTAGTATTATGCCCTCCCCCTTTTACATTTTGTACAATAACTTCGCTAATAATCAATATTTGAAAACTTAATGGTTACATTTGTCAAAATGTTAATCGTGCAATTGAGTCTAATCGATTTAGTGTTATAAAATTTAAAGATTACTTAGAACGTTATTTATTATAAAAGTATGATAATATGGTAATAAGGTTCTTATACAAAAATAGATTTAAATAATTGATTTTATTTAAAATAACAATAAATCAATAACAGTGTTTTGTTACTAATATGTATACAAAGAATAAAATACTGCAAAAAACGTTGCTGAATGTATGTATGCAAATATATACGTACACAAATAAACCTATTATATAGGTTGTTATACCAGAGATCTGGACCGAAATGAAATTTAGTTGAATAAAATTGGTTGAAAAAAAATGAAATTTCGGTCTGATTACGGTTACGGTTCGAAGCTATACCCAACTTTCGGTTTTGATTCCAGTTTGATTTATCAATGATATAACAATGATCGTAAAGTTTATATTTCAATCTTTTTCGGTTATGGGTGTATAATTACTTATTGTTAAATGTATAAAAAAGGTAATACAAGTATAATAAGTTGCATATAAAAAATTCATGTTTATTGAACAAAAAAATTAATTTATGAGTCATTAGAATGGAAGATTCCGGGCCTTGCTCCATAAACATAGTAAGAATACGATCGAAACATAAGGCGCAAAATCTGAGAGTCAAGAAGAAAGAGACGGAAGACAGGTACCATGTATCTTTTTCTCTCACTTTTTTTCGTTGAAGAAAAAAACTACTGGTACCTGCTTTCTGACCTTTCTAGTTTCTACCTGATCTTCACTGCCAAATAGAAGATACACTCGGTCTATTCCTACTATGTAGATTTCTATAGAATACTCCATGGCGCAGACTAAAAGAGCTAGATCAATTTATGGAATAAATGCTTTCTGTCCTTTCTACCTGAACTTGACTGGTGCAAGTAGAAGGCGCTCATAGACATAGTTTATTCTTATTACGTATATTTCTTTAAAATACTCCATGGCACGGACTAAAGGAGCTATAAATGTATAGAATAAAAGTGCACTGTTCTGTTTCCAGTTTTCAGTGCAAAGTGTGGATCAGGGACGCAAGAATGTCATATCGCCATACATATGCATTTGGGCTTCGAATTCAATCTATAAATGAGCTGCCAATGGCGACTATGGATTTACGAATTCCTCCAAATAAAATAATTCTTATTAAACATTTAATAACGTTTAAAAAATCCGAATCAAAAACAGGAAAAAAATTCCGGTTTTACGGCTCCGGTCTATAAGCCTGCATAATATTTCAGTCCGATTTTCGGTCCGACTAAAATAATGATTACGTTCCGGTTATCGATTTCGGTGCGGTCTGGGTCTTTGGTCAGTGCTAAAAATCTATCGTATATGTAACGTGAACTAGCAGCTGCAATCGATTTGTCAAATATCTACTTTGATATGAAAATCTAAAAAAAGAAAAGATTTCTGCACGGTTATGGGACTATAAGCAAAATGCTATTGTTTAACTTTGCATAATTCGAAATGTGTACAGGTAAAATGTTAAATAACAAAAAAAAACACTCAAGTGTATATAAATTCGTGATAATACGCCCAATTTTAAGAAGAATGAGGAAGCATATATATGTGCGTAATTAAACGCTGAAATGTATCTTGAAAACATTTTAAAATGAAAGTAAAAATACATTATGGCAAATGTCAGGCTATTCCATATTAGCATATTAGTGCTATTGCATAAATGATGGGCTACGGACTCAACGAATCTATAAGTAATCATTGGAATTCGCCACTTAATAGCGGAGATATTAAGAGGAACAATCATACTTACAAAGACCATAACATCACTTTCTTCTTTAATGTTTGTTATTATAGAAAATACGTAAGCACAATTAATGTAATTTGCTTTTATATAATATCTTTCTTTTCATTTTATTAGGGTTTTGAAGACATTCTGGTGCTCGATGAATTAATGGAACGCTATAATTCGGATTTCGCGAAGGTTCTGCCGAAATTTTCGGAATTAAGGTGCGACAATGGGCATGCAATATGCGATCTCGCAATGTATAATTATCTTGAGGTATGAGTGATATGTGAATCAGTAAAATTTACCGTACTATCACTTTTGAATACTCGTACATTTGTCGATTTGCATTTAATTTCAAATTGTATTTTTCAGATGAGAGACTTAGTGACGAAAAAATCCTTTCTTTTCCGAAAGTCCTTAGATAAAGTTTTATTTACCCTTATGCCCAATTCTTGGATACCGCTTTATTTCGCTGTGCAGTTTACTCGCATGAGTTTTCGTGAATGCATAACGCATAAAGAATGGCAGGACAAGGTATGGTAAAAGTATAAAGTACAAGCGAGCAGAAAATGTACGCAGCTATAAAAAATTTTATATTACAGGTATTAAGAATAAGTCTTATATGTCTCGGCTTTCTGATTTTCGCTGTCTTAATTGTTCCTTTTCTGCGAAATGCCATGTGAATTCGATCGCTTGCCAAATATTATTAATAAATTAAAAATATAAAAATTCTTAATAATTAATAATTAATAATTAATTATTAAGAATATTATTAATAAATTATAATTTAACATAATTAATAATTAATTTTCTTATTAATTATTAAAATATTTCTTATTAATATTAATAATTGAGAAATATTTTAATGTACTTATTAAATTATCTCATATAAATTTTTATAGTTTTATAGACAACAATGATACTTATTTATATACAATAATTATTAAAAGTTAATTTATTATATAATTCAATCAATGCAATTCTAATAATTTTATTAGAGTGTTTATTTGGACATCAAATTAAACATAAAAAGTTATTTATTATAATTATTATTTATGCAATAAACTTATTGCATACTTGAGCAATACAAGTTGATTTTTTTTAATATTACAAAAATGTAAAAAATTGACTTTATTCTTCAAAAATAACATTAACTTTAATAATGATTTAAACATACTTCTAATGTACAAAGATACATATTTCATATGTAATACAAAAATTGCAGCAATGACATCACGTAATTAAATTTCGTTCAATATATTTTTTTGCGCGTGTTTAAGTTCTGACTCAGCTTCTAATAAGTACCGAAAATGTTTATAAATAAACTATGTATATTAAATGAATAATGTAACAATGTAATTAAAATCTTTTAATTGTATGTAGAATCTTCTTTCGAAATCATTCCGTCTTTAGAGTAGTGACAAGTGCCTTTCTAATAGAAATTAGAAAACAGTAACAACTTTTTTTACATTATATCACACATTCAAATCATAGTTCGAGAGTAACATTTTCTGCATTTTTTACATATTTGTGCTTTTGCGTTTCAAAGAGCTCAACCAAACCTTTCATAAATTTTTCGTGATATTCGTTGATCTGCTCAGTCGTGGGCTCTTCTATTTTCGGCAGTTCAATAGGACTACCAACTACAATGAAGAGAAACGTAAAATTTTAATGTAGAAGTAAAATAACGAGATAATTAGTAATTTAGTATTTGCATGATGCCAATGCACACATAATGTCAAATATATATATATATATATAAAGAGAATTATACCGACTACGGTGACAGGCACCCGATTCGGAATAAGGCCAAATGAATACTGAAAGAATCCTCTGCCCGAGAAAACGATGGGTGCTAGTCCAATAAGATTGCGAATATAGTTCTGTATGCGTCTGAAAGTCGAGCCTTCTGGGCGATATATTTGAGTGTATAAGTCCGTTTCACCAAAGGACAGGACAGGAACCAACGCCGTACTGAATCATACAATTGCATTAGACTTGAATCGTGTTGAATAGGATTGTTATGCGTGATTATTATCATACTTTGTAATTTCCTGTAATTTTTTTACAGTATATTTATTTAACGAATTTATTTATTATTTATATGTTTCATTATAATTTTAAAAATTGAACGATCCACAATTGTATTGATGCACATGAACGGATTTCAAAACAAGTTTTTCTTGAGATGTGATTTGCTTAATGTAAATAAAATCTGTAATATGAACAGATTGCAAAGTAATTTTTTCTTGAAATTGCGCTAAACGTTCAATATTGTCATGAAAATGTAGTACGCAAAAAAAAATTATATATGCATGTAAGAAAAAACCGCTTACCCATATTTTAGCGCCAATTTCACGAAACCTTTTCTTCTTTTCACAAGTGTACGATAAGTGCCCGGCATCGCTTCCATCGATTCGGAAGCACCACCGACAACAATAATCGAAGCTCTTCCGGTGTACGGACTTCTCGGTGGTGTCGATAGTAAATATTTGACACTTCTTATGCTAGAAGCACAGCCACCTATAAGCATTCAAGAATTTATCGTTGTAATCAAATTACGGAAAGAATATAGGAATTGTAAATGCTTATTAACGATTTGAAATTTATATATATATATATATATATAATGGCTGTCTCTTTTAAAGTACATACATCATTTTTAATGCGATACTATAATTTTAATGTATTTTGATATGTGTACTCATAGCGTAAATATCGAAAATATTTACTATACTGTTGCGAGATTTATCTGCAATTAAGTGAGAAAAATTTAATGAATGCCGAGAACTAAGAAATTTTACCTAAAATATAAGCATATTCTCTAAATAGAGGTATTTTGAAGTGTTGATCGAGAGTGATTACATGCATTTCTAATCCAGGAAATAGCTTCTTGCAGTCCAATTCATCTGTTGCGAATGAACCAAATATTCCCATCGATATAATACCATGAGGCACAACAGTGAAAAGATAAGATTTTTTAGGATCTAGATCAACGGTTTTCACTAATTTTATCGGAAAATAATTGCAAAAATAACGCCAGAACACATTGTTTCTCACCACTCTTGTCCACAACTGTTCACTGAAATGTAAGATATGTAAGTCATTCTTTAAACATTAATAACTGTCATCCTTCTAAAAAATTTCTATCGTGGCTAATATTATTTTCTTCTAAGATTCTATGAGAATATCATAATGGACTTTTTACTCATTTACATTTATTGCAACATTGAATAATTATCTTCAAGATTATTATTGACGACTTTAAGAGAGTAATAGAATCGTTACCTTCTACCGCCTTGATGGCAAGTGTCCCAATCATAGTACATCCAGAGGAAATACAGTAGCAGGAAGTAGCGTGCCGTTTCTGTGTAGAATAGAAGATAGGTCACGATTATGTATCCCCAAAAATCCCCGAAAGCGTTCCAAAGAACCCATATTGCGACGGCCAACGTTTGTAGTCTTCTTTCCATAGGCA